GCCCTGAAAGCCATAAGGTAACCATATCCGTTTTTTTCTTTTCTCTTTTTCTTTAAAAAAAAATTGGACCATTTCTGGAATTTTCTGTTCCAAACTTTTCTGTTCATTCGGGTGTTATCTTTTTCAGCTCGTGCTTGATTATTACCGTTCCCAAGGCAGGCTCCATCGATCTGTGGGCTTGTCGGGATTGCCGAATCCAACGCCTGATGTGGGGAGTTGATTTCTACCGTCCGATTTTGACTGTCAGATTTCCAGACCGATCTCAAGCTGTACGAACCCCAGGTCGCGGACGATGCATGTAAACAGACTTGAGTGGGAATGCCGTTGGAATCAGATGAATGCAATAACTCTTCAGCGTCTGGGGTTGGGTCAATTCCAAGATGATACCTCAAGGCAGTCGCAATCCACCACTAACTCTGAGCCTCTTTTTCCGACGTGGAGTGGATTTTCCCTGCGCGCAATCCACGACGATGTGGCAGGTAGCACTGTTCATCCGCAGAACGCAGCGTCTCGTCCGAGACGCTTGCCCGTGTAGTGGTGGTTTTCAAGAGGTGGATTTGGTGGTATACCAGCTCGTTTCCGCGCTGTTTGAAGGGGCATACTACCGGTAGGACTTTTCCCCAGTTCTCTGTGGACATAATTACGGTCAGATGCATTCAGGAGTCGTCGTAAGTGCTGTCATATATATCCAGGAACCAGTGTGAGTATGCCCTGAGGTAGTGGGGGATCAGGAGTAAGTGGGAGCGTCTTTTCCCCGAGGCGGATTTGTGCTGCGTGCCAAAGACAAAGAACAGGTACTGGTACCAACGGGCCTCTCTCAGTTGGTCCTACACCCATGACCAGTTGACATACAGGCCGGGTGCCCTTCGGGACATCCTTTAAAATTGGAACGACACATAGAAGATTAGCATGGCCCGTAAGCAGGGATGGCCCGCATCAATAGAGAAATGGTCCAAATTTTTTACTCTCGGCAAACGAATGTCTTGGCCCTCGCAACGATGTAGTGAGCAGCGAAATGAGATACTCAATGTGAATTGCAGAAATTTGTGAGCCGTCCGCAAAATGAAAAGAAAAAGAAATACAGAGGGGGTTTGAATCCAGAGCTAACCAGTGACACATATGTACTTTTCACCCGCGACACACGTGTCCGTTGCCACCAAAAGATGCTGGTTGTTAAACCACCAGTACTTTTGGCAGCACTTTTTGCAGTACTTTTTGGAGCACTTTTTGCAGCCAAAGAACCAAGAAACAACTACGTCCAGCGACACACACATGTACTTTTCACCCGCGACACATGGGCCCGTTGCCGCCAAAAGATGATGGTTGTTAAAACACCAGTACTTTTTCCCAGCCAAAGAAACAAGAAACAACAACGTCCAGGTCATGGTATGAGTTTTGAATCTGCAGGAAAAACAGGTGACAGCAACTTGGGGCACACAGTAGTTTGAGAGAAACTGCGAAAATAGAACAAAAGGAAAAATGATGAGTTTTTGTTCCAATGAGGGGCGGCGCTTGGTGGTGCGCGAGGGGGTTAGGTGTGCTAATTCAGGCAAAGGGACGGCATGCCCGTCTCGTTCGCGTGAGTAGCCATGGTGGTGGTCTTTCTTGGGAATTCCGAGAACGTAAGGGCAAGGGGTGAAGTTCATAGCAACACCACGAACAACGGGTCGTCTTCCTAACCATCTACTTTGTGCGCATATCCGTTGGGTAGGGACTCAGGTAACCTCAATTAATGGAAAGGAGAGGAGGTAAGCCACCAACCAAGCGTTGACTGAAGAAACCTAGAAGACTTGGAAGACGCCATAAAGGCCGAAACCCTCGAAGACAATGAAGATGTGATGGGCATATGCTTTGGACTCAAAACCATACTTAAGCTATTGATGCCTCAGATAAAATACATTATTAGTTTGTTTATTGTGTTTTCTATTTTTTGTGTTTATTTCTTGTATTTTGTTTTGAGGTGTTCAAGGAACAGGTCCATGGCTTCATCTGACCCCCCCCAGGTGTCTAGGTCACCTCCTATTAACCCCCTCTCAGAAGAAGGTAAAAATCGAATCAAGGACCTCCTGAGCACTTGCTTCATCGAAGGAGTCCACCCTGATTTTACCATCCCAGGTCTCGTTGAGACGGGTGACGAATTCGTGAGGGTTACAGTTGATCAGGACGTGTATCATGTGAAGAAATCATGTGATCTCTATCTTCTTTGATGATGAAGCTTCGTCTCTGTCGGCAGATGTAAAGAGCAGATTAGTACGCTTATATGACAACGGCTGGGTATCCGCTGGGATCCCGGGAGCTGCCCCAGTCAGAGGTGCCTTCAGAAATGAAGGAAGAAACATGGCTACTAAGTAACCTGGTCTAAACCAGTGGCAGATTGGATGTTGCGAAAAGAGGGGGAGAAGATTCTGCTGGATGGTCAACTTCAAACGTTGACCTTTCGAGCCTGGATGGCGGAGCAGCAGCTCCATGATTGGAGAGATGCCATGCAACATAATTTTTTTTGGATACGTTGTATGGAGGTTCCGGTTTCGACGATGGGGTCTTTTAAAGCGAGCAGTCCAAGATGCATTTGGACAGGTGATAAGAGACTTCCCTGCGTATACCAAACCCCTAGAGCCGGACCTTTGAAACGTTAGATTCGATCTTGTCCCCTCAGCAAGACTTCGTTATAAGAAGTGCTTACAGATAGACCTGAAGGGGGATGTTCTGCTTAAGATTGATGTGGTCTGCGCTGAGACTCCTTGGTGCCGTTTGTGCCGTCATCACTTCCACGACGAAAACGACGACAAGTGTCCGAAGAAGAAAAATAGACAAACTTCAAAGAAAGACAAAGGAAGGGATGGTTGGAAGGATAAGGAAAAAGAAGAAGTTCCCTCCCCTCCGCGGAAAGAACCAGAGGATAAATTAAGCGAAGGGAAGGATTCGGATTCTCCGTTCCCCTCCTTTAAAGAAGTTCTAATGCGGGATAGTGAAGGTGCGTCTAAAGAAAAACTGAAGGGAGTGGCGGACAAGGAGGGTGAAAAGGACGATCTAGTCCGCAATCACGCCCACAAGGCAACTAATCCTTTCAGAACGAAACCTGTCTATATCCCCAAAAGGAAGGATGGGGCGAGCTCCTCGATTGAAGTTCCTCGAAAGAAGGGGCAGGATCCATGCCCCCAATTAGTGTTTGGTGATAATCAGACCAAGAATAATAATAATAAAAAAGACAAAGAAGAACCAACATTGTGATATGACTTCCAACGACAATCAGCTTCCTAAACCCATGGCCACTGAAAATGACGACGATAAGAGCCTGAACTCCCAACCTGTTATGGACAGTGCTGCGATGGAAAGAACAGGGAACGACACCCGCATGGAAAACTCGGATTCCGAGGTTGAAACGGAACCTGGAGCTGGTCCTGAAGACCAAGCTGACTTAGGACTTGGTTCCCTCTTCCAGACGGAAACAGGTACGAACCCGAGCTGTTCAAGGGACAAAAACCAGTCGGAAAACACTTTCGATTTTTCTGTGCCCGGCCTATTAACAAAGGGTCAACTATCTTTCGCAAAAAGAAAGGAGGATGATATTTCTCTTAAAAAAGCTAGATTAAACGATGACTCAGCTAAGCAGACAGCGGCTGATCTGGGACTAGGAGAACCGTCTGATGCAGATAACACGAGTTTACCTTCGAAAAAAAGGGGAAAGGCTGGAAGGACTGCTAGAAAATTTTTGCTCCTTGCCGAGCTGATGACCTCCTTAGGTCGAGCAGACAAAGGACGACCACCACTGAAGGAGTTCTTTGTTCCTTTGATTGTATCTGATTCACCGCTGGGTATTCTGCTACTCACAAAGAAGGCGAATTACGAAACTCTTAGTATCCCAGCGTTAGAGATTCAGAACCTACCGGCGGAAGATCTGTTGCCAGACCTGGTGAATGAGCATGTCCTGAATCACACAAGATGCTGTGTGGTTCTCTCAGAGCCTAAACCAGGCCGTCATGTGATGGTGGCTCAGGGAGGGGAAAAGATCCTCCTTCACATAGCCTTTATGGGAATAAGAACTGTCACTGATTCATTCGGTAAATGGTGCGCCAGAAGAGCCTACTGGCACCCACTGTCCAACCTCTTAGTCCCAAACAACGACAGTGTATCGGCTATTGCCTTGACCTCCAACAGTACTGCGAAGGAAATATCAGACTGGATGGTTAAGACAGATACTGTTTCTATTGCCTCTGAACCAAAATTCAGGACAATGGTCATTGGTTTGACCCTGTCGGTAAATTTCCCTGAGAACGATGCTGGTATCCAACAGCATGACGGGGCAGACCAAAATAATGGTTCTGCCTCCTAAGTTTCGCATTGCTAGTTGGAATGTTAAGGGACTTGGCGACACAACTGAAAGACAGAAACGCTCGAGAATACCAGCTTGGATGCAAAAAGAGGAAATTCAAATAATGTGCCTGCAAGAGACTAAATTAAATACAGAAAAAATCAATGAAATAAGGCCTTGGTGGCAAGGCCCCCAGTTCTGGGCACCAGCAAGGGGCTCTAGAGGTGGTACAGGGATTTTGATCAGTAAAGATTTGGATTGTGACATTCTGGACTCCTACATGGACTCAACAGGAAGGCTAGTGGGGGTAAAGCTGGCCGTTGAGGATGAAGATTGGGCTATTGTCTCAATCTATGCTCCTACAGATTACACAGATAAAACAACCTTCTTTGCTAATCTACCAACATGAAAATCTAGCCATATTGGGGGACTGGAAATCAATCCTGACCCCTGGTT